ATGTGGTGGTGGGTGGTTTGAGAAGGAGAGTTCTGGAGCGGGTACGGTTTGGGCATCGCACTCCTGCCAACTTACCTCTGTGGTACTCAGCTTAACAAAAGAGGATATTTTGGGGGGGGGGTATTTCTGCCCCACTCACCTTGGTGAATGAAAGGTAGCTCCTTGTAATGTCAAGGCCCCAGACTCGGAGGATCATTACATTTTAACAGTCTTCCCCCTCCAAAGCCAGACTCTCATTTATTTATCTCAACGTTGCAAAAATGCCAACCGTTTCCTCAAGATTTCGGGATGTAAGCTGGTGAAAACAGAATCCAAATCTGGCCTGAAGTTTGTCTCCAGGCAGGTACAGAGTAGGTAGCTTACACTGAACTGCTCAGGTTTTGTGGCTCAATGCTCAGGGTGTCTCCTAAACTGTAATGAAATGCTGCTTCTCTACCTAAAACGCGCGTCTGACCATACGAGGTCAACATCTAGTTCATGAAAAATTGAAACTGGTGATTCCTGAGACTGCAGTGGCCTTTTGGCTGGGTGTTTGCATGTCTGTGGAAGCAAAAGTGAGGAGGTTTCAGTGCTGGAAAGTGAACTGGAACAGGAGAGGTGACAACCTTTGGAGACAGTATCTCAGCCAAGAAAGATTATTTTCAGCAGAAAACTGAAATCTGCCCACTCGACTGGGGAGATGTTCAGAGCAAAAGTGTGGGGCAATGTGTGATCAGTGCTACTGCCAGGGCCGGAGCTCCTGACGCCGTACGAGTGTGATGCTTTTTCCTTCTGCTTGCATGCAAGTCACTGGTAGTCAGTTTTGCAAGCCCATGCAAGCTGTATTTGAGGAGTTTGCTACAACGGGGCAATGACAACCTCTTGAAGAGCACAGCACAGAGGGCTGGTACCCAGACCATGAGATGAAAGCATGTCTCTGACACTGTAATAGCACTTCTTGTCTAGCTTATGGGAAGGCCCTGGTCATCAAGTTCCTACCAGGCACAGTGCTTCACCTGGGCTGAAATACTGGGGCAGATTTAAAGCGAGGAAATCCCATATGCCTACAAAGTCTGGAGAGTATGGACTGAAATACTAAGCGATGCTGATGAAGACAGAACAGTCAGTTTTATGTTTCTCTTCAAGTTTTTCCAGTTGCAATGAGCTTGCATTGTAAATAGCTGAAAAACCTGACTGATAAGAGAATGGCTTAATTAGCAAGAACATACTGCCCTTTGGGGAAGGGGAAGGCGTAGACGGAAGTCTCTTGGGTACAAGCGTAGGTTCTTAGCCATAAAACCAAAGTGGAGGGTTGGGTTTGTGTGCTGGGAGCAGCCCCTGAAGTTCTGATGGCTTTTTGTTTTGCTTTGAAACACTGCGCTCCAGCTGTGGCAGGATGCTGGAGGACATCCAGGCTTTTGCTTGCAGATAATCGGGCTGTAAGACAAGCTGAAAAGGGTGGAGGAGGTGATCGGTTTTCTTTTTTCGTGGTGTGGTTTACGTTGCTGTTGTGATGTCTGGCAGCAGCAGCAACTCATGCAGAGATCCGTCATACAGTTTCTGAAGTCCTCTAACTACAATGTACAATTGTCCCAACGAGTTGTCCAGAGCCCAAGCTTAAAAAAGTGAGTTGAGTCTCCGTGACATTTTCTTGCTTGTAGACCTCTCGAACCTTCAAAGCAGTGGGGCCACGTGGCGTTTCCTGGGGCTGAAGAGAAGACTTGGCTGTTGCGATTGCACGTGGGAGTTTGCAGAGAGGCAGGACTCATTTGCTGCTCTTGTTTTTCACCTTTGTGGCATTGATGTCTGCTTTTGTTTTCTGGATACGGGAGAAGATCTCCTTAAAAAGAGCCTTGTACTCAGGCTGGCTCTGCTCCAGCCGCTTGTCCACCGCCTCCACGTGTTTGCTGATGGTCTTCTCCATGGTTTTCCGTTCTTCCAACTCATGTCCCTCTCCCCGGAAGTCTCTGAAGGAGCTGTCGCGAGAGATGGGCCGGGATGTTTGGACCCCTGTGTGACGCACGCTGTCCTTGTGCTGCCGGCATTTGCTCAGGAGCTCTTCGTACTTCTCCAGCAAGGCGTGATACTGCTCGTCCACTTCCCTCAGGATGGACATGCCCCGTTTGCGCACGTTGTTAGCGTGCAGCGTGTAATTGCCCTCGTGCCGGCTCACGGCATCCTTGGTCACGATGGCATTGAGGGCTGTGTCACTGCAGCTTTTCCGGACAGGGTGGTTTGGGGAAGGCGTCATTGACGGCCCATGACTTTTCCCTCCCTCCTCCTCGGACAAGTCGATGTAGTCTGCTTCTGGGGCGTTATTCAGAGGCTCGAGGAGGGCCTCAGACAAGTTGTCTTCTCTGCTGAGCAGATACTTCTTGACTTGTTTCATTTGCTGTAGCTCTAGGAGCTCTGCTTCCAGCTCCTTGATGCGCAGTTTGCAGTTCTCCATCTCGCACACCCGCTGCTCGAGGTCCGAGTACTCCTGAATAACGGAGGTGTACTCTCGCTCAACCCTTTCCTTCCGCTGCTTCTCCTGGTTGACCTGGGACCTCAAGGAGTTCACCATGGCTTGGAGACGCTCATTCTCCCTCTCCAGTGGCTTCTGGTTGAACTCTGTGGAAGAGCTGTGGACCTGGAACGCATCCTCATACCTGAAAGAGAAGAAAGAGCCATGAGAGAGTCTGACCAAGAGACAGTCCATGAGGCACCCTGATTGAGTCTTGCTGACAGTAAGTAATCCCGCTGATGCCCAGAAAGGAGGTGACCTGGGCTCAAGGAGTGAGATATGCCTTCTCCCGTGGGCCAGGAGACCATAAGGTGTGGCTGTGGCTCCTTTGGACACAGAGACCAGGCTTTGTCTCAGAGAACCTGCAGTCTCATTTGATAGCAGTGATGAAAGACAGGAGGGAAATGAAACCCTAGAAGGTAAAAGACTCATGTGGTTAATGGACAAACCATCAATGTTGCCGTGAAGCAAGGATGAATGTTCAAGTGCTACCAGTTTAAGACCTGGAAGTAGAAGGCTTTGAGTTTTTCCTGCTGGAGTTCATCAGCTACTCCTTGCACTTGCCAACAACCCCAGACCCCACCCAGCCAAAAACCAGCGGCACAGGCTCTGCTGTCCTGTGTCTGGGAGGTGCTCCAGAGAGTGGGAGATTTATATGGCAAGGGAGGCAGAAGGAGACTTTTGACAGTTCCCCCTTCTTCACTGCTCACTGCCTGGGAAGCAATAACCCGCACTTCCCCCTTCCCTCATGTTGCTGTCAGGAAATCAGATTTTGCGCCTCCTCAATGAAGTGCCCATGGCATCCTATCTGGTTGGAACAGATTGGAAAAAAGCGAGCACCGTGGCTTCCCCTGGGAGGCATGGCTGGTGGCGGGGTGTATTGAACAGATTTCCAAGTTACTGAAGGGCAGCCTGACCCTCAGAGCCAGCTTCAGAGCTGCCAGCCCAACCGAGGTCCCGAGGCACGGGGGGGAGAGTGGGATTGGGGGGTGGGGGCGAAAAGAACCACAGAGACATTGAGTGGATTTTGCTGGGGGTTAGATTACAGCCTCGTAAACATCCCCATTGCTGCTGCAGTAAAAATGTCTTTTGTTCATATCCTCTGGCAGAGGATGCTTTCAGTAACAAAGTTTATCGATTGCTTATCTATTTAAAGAAGCCTCTATTACGGACAAAGCTGAGCAAGAGATGCCCTCACGAGGTCAGTGAATTAACACAGTGGCTGGGTTTTAAGGAGGATCAAGCGTGCAATAGTGCTGAAGGTGTTTGTACAGCACTTGGCAGCATGTGGCGCATCTTGGTGTGTGACTGGGGCTCCTGGGGGGCACTGGCATCATACAGGACAAAATGCACCATCTCAACTGGTTTCAGGGAGCCAGGGATGCTGGAACTGTGCTGGGAGGCAGCTGCAAAGGGAAAACGGGCTGCACTGGTTTGGGAAGGGAAGCTGTGTAGGCAGCTCGAGGTAAGGGTCTTCTTCATGTGAGGTGTTACTGGGTGGGCTGTACTGGTCTGAGCTATCTAGAGCTCAAGCAATGCCTCCCATCTGCTGCATGTTCCCACATGGCTCCCTGCCAGCATGCCAGGAGAGTCCCAGCCCCTCCAGGCAATGCCGGTCCCCTGCAGCCTAGCCCAGTGCGGCTGCATGAGGCATCTGAATCCTCTGGGTGGCTGTTCTGGCCCTCTGAAAAAGAGCTTATGTCTCCCCATTTGAGGCATCACTGATGCTGGGATCATGAAGGCCCTGCTTTGCCAAGGCCGCCTGCTTAGGCAGGTGGGTAGGAGGGAGGGAGGTCCTCCCTTGACCTCCAGCATTGACTTTCAGGCTCCAGCAGAGAGCCTACATCTCTACGGGGGTGTATGTGGGGTTTTGTGCGCCCCTGAGGGGCTAACCCACCACATCCCCTGTTCACGGGCAGAGGAAGTGGGGTGAGAAGGTTGGGGGGGTTGCTAAAGGCAAGGCTCCGTACCTGGGGCTGGAGCACAGCTCCTTAAGGCAGGGGAAGGTGTGGATGGTTCGGCGCCGCTCCCTCTTCTCCCGCCGAATGCGGAGCTGCTCCAAGCTCCGCATTTCCTCCACCTGTTTCTGCAGCTCCTCCACTTGGTTCTGCAGCCCCTCAATCGTTTCCGTCAAGCTGTGGAGAGAGGAGGGAGCACGGATGAGGAGTCAGGCACTACAGGTCTTTGAAAGGTGTTTTTTCCCTATAGACAAAGCCAGGCTATGGAAGGTGCTTCCAGTTTCTAGCATGTGCCCTGGGAGCATGACAGTGCTTGCTTTTCATGGTAGTGGTTGGTCTTTCTCTGCGTGGTTGCTCTTGAATGGGGGTGTTTGTAGAAAAGGGTGGGGGACTGAAGCAGCGGCAAGGGATCATGCTCATTTGAAACCCTCTGTCCTCAAATCAGTTGGCTAAAACAGTCTGGGACGTAAGTGCTATCCTGGAATATTTCTGCACTAAAAGCGAGCAGGGGAGCTATTTACTCTCTTCCGCTTGTTTCTCTTGTAGAGATAAACACAGAGAGACGGGGCAGAGATTGAGTCTTGTTCCAGCTGTGAATGCAATTTGTAAAACCACTCTGAAACTCCCCCTCTGCACAGTCGTTTGCAAAGATGCTGCATTGCAAGGACATGGCTTAGTCTATTGTTTGCAGGGACGACCTTGATTGTGGGCCTGTTTTAGGGAAGAAAAAGTTATTGACAAACTGGTGCTTCAGCATGGACTAGCCAGGGTTTCGCTAAATGTTGGCTCTGTGCCTAGTGTGCCTGCTGGGGTGCGTGCTGGGCACCTCCTGATATGATTATGTGCCTCTTCTTCAAGGAAACGTGTCTGAGGAGGAGGAGAGGCTGCCGTGCCTCTTTCCTGGCAGCTACAGACACTCCTTTATCCAGCCCTCGTCCCAGGGGTGTCTGTGCTGTGGCTGACCTCTGCTAACCAGAGCTTGTGTTGTAAATAGCTGCAAAACCTGAGTGAGAAGAGAACGGCTTAAATGGCAAAGACACGCTGCGCTTTAGGGCAGGGGAGAGGTGAAACGAAGGTCTCCTGGGCACAGCATGGCTGCGGTGGGAGGAGGGGAGGCCGTACCACTGTATCTTCTGTTGGGATGTCTTGCTTTCCAGCACGAGCTTCTGGTTAGCTAGCTCCAGGTCCCGTGCTGTCAGGTCCAGCTGCTCGTAGACTTTTGCGTGCTGTTCGTTCATCTGCCGCAACATCTCTAGTTGCTTGGTCAGGTACTGCAAGAAAAAGTGAAACAGAAACACTCCACATCCAAAATCCGTGTTGTTTCACAGCAGAAATTCCTACCACCTTTGCTTCCTCTGCCAACGTGTTTTGTGGCTGACTTATCCTCTGCCAGGTTGAACCCTTTTACACAGGTGAAATATTCCTACCCCTGCCCACTGTAAATGCTTTTGTGTCTAAGATAAGATTGAACTTCCCCTGCCCTCTGTGAAGGGCACTAACCTCAATCTCTTTATTCAGCTGTTTTTTGATTCCCAGTACCCAAAGACAGCTGATACCCCTGGGACCGTGACCCTTCACCAAAGTTGACTGAAATTGCCCAGCTGGTTACTGGATTGCCTGACGGATCGATTGCAGAAGCTGCGTTTCCTTGGGAATTCATAGGCTAAAACTCTGAGTCTGTGAAATGTGAGGAGCCTCGTGGTTTCTGCGTGTTCAAAGACCCCTTTCTTGTGAGTCTGTCATTGCAAGATTTTACCCTGGGAGAGTGGCATCTACCCAAGAGCTCACCCTCAGCTGGGACCAGATCCCAAATCCGTGGTGGATGTGCTCCTGAAGGGCTGTTGGGGGGGTGGGGGTAGCTAAATCCATCCGCCTTCTTCCTCGGACATCAGCTGTCAGATCCCTGCAGCCATCGCGTGCTGCTCTGGTGAACTTGCTGCCCTCCTCTGCCCTGCATCTTTTTAAATCGGGGGGGTTCCAATCTTCTTTAATTCACAGACCCGTAGAAGTTTTCCAGTGGATGAAAGCCCTCCTGGCACAGTGGGTTTTAGCCTCTAAGCTGTGGGCTCTTAGAAATACTGCCCTGACCCCAAAGGATGCTTGAAACAGTGGTTTAGATTGCAGCTCTTGGAGAAAGAGCTATTTTATGCCTCTGACAAAGGGGGCTGTGTTAGGGGGTGCCGAGGGGCCAGCTGGGAACAAACGCGATTATGAATAACTGGAATCAAGGGGAAGGAGCAGCAGAGCAAAGAGAAGTGTGTGTGAAGGCTGGTGGATGGGCAGGGAAAGGCCAACCATGCCCCAGATGCAACCTGGGACCGAAATCTGGCATGCACATCTGGGCAGGAGGTGGGGATGTGAGAAGGGGGAAAATCCCAGTTAATGGGGAAAAGGGATCCTCTTCAGGGCTGGGATGGGCTTTAACTCCCATCCCCATGGCGCATGCTTTCCTTTGTCCTGGCATCTGAGCTGTTGGCATTGGTGGAAGTGCTCCTTCCCCACCATCGCCCTTAGCTGACAGCAGTGGCCGAGCAGCTCCCATCCCCACCCCTGGCCCGACTGTGTTCCTACCTCAATTTCCTGCACTTGTTCCTCGTTGGTGGCATACATCTGCTGCAGGGAGTCCTCCAGCTCTTTGTTGCGCTCCAACAGCGTCTTCCCCAGCTCTGCGGCCAAATGCAAGTCTGAAAAGCAGATGGGACAAAGCTGCTGCCATTTCCATGCTCTGTGGGGTAGATGCTGTGGGGTCACCGAATGGCACCACACTGGACACATTTTGCACAGCGCTGGTGTTATTGGCAGATTTTGATATGGATGCGTGCTAATGGGACACACAGCTTCTGGCCTCTTTTGTCTGCAGGAGCGAGGGGAGGCCGAGCTCAGGACACTTGCGGCTCCTCCATGCAATGAGGATTGGGTGCCTGGCTGGCTGCATAACCCTTCTACTACACTGCACTACACACTGCGTAGCCAGGATCAGGCCCCAGGCTTGGCTGTGGCAGGTGCTCAGCACCTTCATCCCCTACCACCAAGACCTGTGGGGCTGCGAGGGGCTCAGCATCCATCAGAATGAGAGCGAGGGTTGGTAAAGCCCTGCGGGGCCCTTGGGGATGCTCTGTAAATTATATTATATGTATCTCTAATGAAGGGAGAGCCTTGCCTTCCCCGTCAGCCTCCATCCATCACCTGCTAATAGACTGACATGAGTAATAAAACCACGCGTGGCTCGAGGGGGCTGGAAGCACCTCCCGCATCTGCCGCCAGGGCAGCACTGTGCTGGCCGGCTCTGCGGCTCTTTCCTTGGGACACCTCCGGGGTGAGGACAAACCTCTTTGTATTCACTCTCTGCCACCTCTAAATGCCCTTAGGAAGCTACTGAAACAGTTGAACTTTAGGGGAAGTGCAGGAAAAAAAAGGAGTTGACAGCATGGTTGGCTTAAAATACTGGGTTTGCTGCCTCCTGGGTAAGGAAAAAGACCCAGGACCCTGTGAGTCCTGTATTGGCCAAAGCTTGAGCACCTCAGGTGATGCTGTTTGTGGGCCTGGGGTGGCACAGCTGGTGCTGATAATGTCCCCTTGCTTTCACAGAAATTGGTTGTCTTCTTAAAGCCTGACTCCCTAGGAGTTCCTCTTTTTTTTTCTGGTGCTTTTTAGGGGTGAATTTCTTGCTCTTAGAGTAGCAGACTGAAAATCTGACCTTAAACATTCAAAAAGGTAAGGAAGCAGGTCCTGATGTGTGTTATTGCTTTCTCTCTGGTATGGTTATCATGTGGTTTTAGATAATTAAGGAGTAGCAATCCTGCCATGTAGGGGGGGACCTGGGTCTCCTGCCCTGGTGTTTTCTCAGCCCACTGTAACGCTCCTCTCTGGTCTGCAGCTAATGATGTGTTTTGCAAAGGCTCTGCCAGGGCTGAGAGCAGCTATAATTTCTTCAAGTGGTTAATTTGGCCATGCAGTGGATTGGGAAAGAGGGATACTTGGTCACTAGGAGAAGAAGAAGGGGAACCAGGACACCTAGAGTGTATGCCAAGCCTGGAAAAATTACTTCAAATGGCCCATTGCAAACTAAGGCTCACGCTGACCTCTCGGCCACGAGGGCTCAGTGGGAGTGCTGTTAGTGCTGGCAGTGCTTGGGACGGCGCAAACCAAGGCTCACGCTGACCTCTCGGCCACAAGGGCTCAGTGGGAGGAGTGCTGTTAGTGCTGGCAGTGCTTGGGACGGGGCTTTCCTGATGGATAACGCTGCACTGTGGGAAGTGCTGATAAGTTATTAGTTTGGGTGACGACCGTGTTTCTTTCCATGTGGCTCCAGCGGTGCCGGAGGACTGGCTCCCCAGATGTGGTCCAGCCACCAGCTGCTCAGTGCATCCTCGAATCTCCCCTTCACCACGGGAATGTGCGCGCCAGCTGTGGCCTGCGTTGCAGGGTGTTATTCTAGGCTATGGCCTTTTTAATTATAATCCTCATCATTGCACAGTGACCTGGTCTGAGGGCTGCGATTCTCCATGGACAGACTTCCTCCACCTATTATTTTCTTTTCTTTTTTTTTTCTCAAGCACTGAATTTCCCCAGTTTCCAAAGTGCCCTTGGGAGACCGAGTGTTTGCTACACCAGCTGGGGACAGAGGAACAGCCAGATGCCAGCAGAGATGGAGGACAATTTGTGCCTTTAAGCTGCTTGGGGCTGTATTTAATGGCACCGTCACCTTGCCAGAGCCAGTGTCATTGCTGGAGACTGGCACCTTGCAAATCGCACCCCCTGCAGCAAGCGGGGCCCCGGCACAGAGGCGTGTATCGAGAGGGCTCCGTGCTGCGCTCCAGGTAATGAGTCAAGTGTGTCCCTGTCCCTGCGGATTACACCAGTGCTCTCCCACCATATGGCATCCAATTTAATGAGCTGGGGTTGAGTTAAGTGGATTAGGCAGTGTAAGATCCTGCATTGTAATTTAAAGGGCTCCGTCAGCAATAATTTAATGGGGGAAATGGGCAGCGTTTGGGGACGAGTGGGAAAAAGGAAAGAATGGGGCTGAGCTCTGAGGAGGAAATTGATTCTTCATTTCCATTTTGAGTATAAGGGCCTGGGAGATTCCAGGCTTGAAGGACACAGGGGAGTTGGTTCTTTTTGTGTCTTTTAACTGCCTCGGCTGTCATCATGCACGCACGCTCACCCTCTGCCTGCCAGCCAGCCAGAGCATCCTCTGTAATCCTGTCTCGTCCGTCCCCCTCACGCCCGAGTCCTCTTCCCCACCTGTTGGTGTCCCTGGGGCCGCAGGGAGGGAAGGGATGCTGCGGGGAAGTGCTTTAATGTCGTCTTTAGCCCAGATCCCTCTTCATCTTTGCGCTATAATCATGGCTCGGCACTGGCTTGGGGAGCGCCCAGCTCCTCTCCTTTGAGGCCTCGGAAACCTGAATGTGAATTTTTTAGCAAGTTGTTTGGAGTGGGGGGAAAGATCTATTTAGGAATTTGGGGGTTCTCTCTGCATAAGACTCTGGCTTCCCACAATTTTTTTTGTATTCCTCTCTGCTTCTCCACTGTCAGATCAGCCAGCCAGTGCCGTACAACTTGCCCTAATTTAGCAGATACGCTGATGCCTCCCTTCCCCCTCCCCTCTCGATGTAGAAGGAGAAATATAGTGGTGGGGAACGGCTGTGCTGCGTGTCCGCTCGCTGTGCCCGACCCCTCTGCAGCCTGCCTGCGCTGAAGGCGCTGCTGTGAAATGGCCAATATTCAGCTTAAAAATTGGGGGCCTTGGCATTGCCCAAATCCTATTTAGGAGAGGGCCACAAATGCAAACTGTCCTGGGCAGCACCAGCTTGGTGCCCTCTGGCTCTCAGCACCGCAAGCGCTGACGTGACCCTTCTAATTAACACCAGCCAGGGAGACACCCCGCATCCCCAAACAAAGAGCTGCGCCTACAGAGCAAAGCGGAGGGAGGGATGGAGGCTGCGTTTCCCTGCAAGCTTCCACAGCAAAGGCGCCTGAGCAAGGAGGGAGGGGAAGGGAAGAGAAGAGAGACCATATGGTGGGAAGGGAGCAGGAGTTGAATCCAAGCAGCGCTCGGTACAGGGGAGCATGGCTGGGCAGTGCATCCAGGAGGCAGCCGTCCTGGAGCTGCAGAGATCATCATCGTCAGCCCGGTGATAATTCTGCTGGCTCTGTGTTGCTGGGGAAACTTGGAAAAAAATAAATATCCTGATACAAAAGCTGCAGCAGGTTGTCTTTGACTAAAAGAGGCTGAGGAACAAACTGCAGGGTGTTCCCCCGCTGCAGTGTCCTGTGGCAATGCTGGCACGGGCAGATGTGCCCTGCACGGAGCTGCTGCAGAGCTGAGCACTTCCCAGCTGCCCCAGCCTTCGCAGCAGCTTGCAATGAGGCACAGAGAGGGTTTGGAGTCATTTTTGCCTTCCCAGTGCTGGCCTGCATCTGTTTGGGGGCAGAGCGCTCTTTGCCACAGCCTATTCTCTGAAGGGGGTTTTCTCCCCAGCATCTCCTGGTTGTGGCTTTGGGGGAGCATAAGCCTGGTGCCGGGAAGGGAAGGTTTCGGCTGCTCTCGGCACAGCAGCGATCCGGTAGCTATTCAGATGATCCTCGTAAATACAGCTTTCTGGAGGAAGCCACCATCTGGAGCGGCTGCGTTGGGCTTTCCCCCCTTGTCTCACTTGCATCGAGGGGATTCATGTGTTCAGGCTGTGAGAGAACAAGCCTGCTGCTCCGAGCACTGGTGAGGGGTGCTGTGCTTTGCTCCTCACCTCTAAATAACCCA